GATACCACAGTCAGGCATAAGTATCACCTGAGGTATAGGTGTAATCTTTTCTTTTGGTAGAAATCATTTGCCCCGCATGGGAAAAGTGTGATTATTGTGATACCTGCAGGTCTGTGGACTCACTAAGGGTGATGTGCTGTGCTTGAAAAAATGCATCAGATTATCATATATCCATTGGCCAGTTCTTCACTTAAGGGTTCTAATCCCATATCCTCTTCTTCCTGTGGTACATTCCTTTCTGTAGGTTGAGACTCCTGCCTGCATTATCACAACAGTGGTGGATTGATAAAGTCACCAGGTTCAAGCCCAAGGCCTGAGCTAGTGCTTAACACAGTGTCAATTTACACAGTTAGTTTTACTCTTTTCTGCTTATTTAATTAGTATTTAAATATTCCAGTTGAAGTGGAATAGGTCAAAGAGGAGCTAGCAATGACCTGAATCCAGAATACTCTCTAGCTTATTTATTGGAGAGCTCATCTGGGGAGTGGAACAGACAAGTCAAAAGCTACCTACTCTCTCATTAAGAGCAGACTGCACTGAGGTTTCTCACATCCTAACTGCATTGCCGTAGCAACAATATTATTATTTAAAAGGGAACAACCTCTTTTTTCAGTGTTGTGTCTAGCCTTCTTTTAAAATGCCTAGCCTTAAAAAGCCATTGCACACTAAATATTTTACCTAATTTTTTTTGTACTATTGGCGAACTAAGACTGTTATACACAAAAGAGTTGTGAAATAACAAAAATAGAGAAAATTACTCTTTTACATCTGAATGAGTCTGAATGGAGTAGGTTTGTTTGTTTTGGAGGTTTTCTTCTGTTTTGTTTTTCTACTGGAGTAATGGAAGATATAGGTAAACCTGAACTGTAAAAAGGTGCTGAACTGCAAAATCAAGCACTCATCCTTAACCGTGGACTCCTATGCTTATTATGCCTCAAGGAGAGTTCAACTCACAAATACAAAGGGTATTTCATCGAAGCTGCCAGAACTACAAGCTCACTCTGGACTCTGAAAGTCACACAATGTTTTACTCAAAGTTGTCACCAATTGTCAAGGTTTATTTATACTTACGAGACCTTATAGGTCTTCAGATTGTATTTTAAGTGACAACTCTGAAACCAGAGGAATAGTAAGAATCTCTGAGTTTTAACTGTTTGGAATTTAGCAAATCAATCTGTTGATGTAAAGGTGACATTTGTGACCTGATGGGGTAGTTCTGTGTGCATGAGAAATTGTGATGTGCAGTCAGAGGTATATATCCCTGGAGTAATCTTTTTATAGAAATGTATATATAACTTCTAAAAGTTCCCATCCTCATTGAAAATCAATAGCAATCACAACCCAAAGTGCCAGGAGGCTCTGGCAGACATGTGGTGGTGGATTAAAATTGGATGGCTGAAATTGTAACAGCCTTCAGCTGCACCTTCCACTCCTATGATGGATGTTGCTCCCCCAAAGCAGGGACAACTGATCTGCTCATGAATCACTCGGTCCACTGCTGTGTTCATCTAAAATAAACTGACTTGGATTCTGGTTGGCTGTAATACAGACATTGAAATTTGTCTTGGGAGAGAAAATGTTTATTATATGGGCAGCAAAGATGCCTGGGGAAGTTTGGGAATCTGATTTTAACCTGCAGCTGAATGAGCTCTGTTAATTGTAAAAGTCAAACTCAGCAGGCTCCATCAGGTGATTTCAAAGCAACAAAAATGCCTGTTTTTCTCATTCCCCCACTGTGCACGTGGTGACCCAATGACCTCTTGGGCAGGAGCTCTGCCTAACTTTGATACTTTTCTGAGGAAAAGGAGGATCACTACTGGCTGAACTGATGGAAATATTGCCCATGTATGTGTCCCCTTTTCTCTACTTGTCTATCTGTGCAAATACCAATACTGCAGGTTTTGGGAGGAGGTTAGTAGTGGTAGGAGATGGATAAAAATGAACAGAGCACTTAGGCACTGCAAAGCAAGAAACAGGCAGAAAAAAGCATGAGGCCAGCACCAAGGTACTACAGTAACAAAATGCTTGTAAGGGAGAGGGCAGTCATCTTGGTGTTATTGCCTCTTCTTTTTGGAGTCATGAAATGATGATGGTATCGATATACAATCCATCCTACTTGAGATTATGTAGTAGTAAAAAATATCTTTCTCAGGAGTCATCAGATAAAGTCCTCCAGCCAATTTTGTTTATATTGGTATCAAGGAACATGAAAATTTGATTTCTATTTTCAGTGCTTTAGGACATCCTGTCTGGTTTTGTTTTGGTTTTTTTTTTAGGCAGTTCAGGAGTAGATCTTTACCCTGTAGATGTTGCTTGCCAGTCCTGTGAGGATGTCTGTGATATCATAAAGCATCTATAACAACACTGGAGATTTTTCTTAGGCACCTGAATCATACTGCAAACACCTGCGTTGGGAACCTCTAGCAGTATAACAACAGTTTTCTTAGCTTGACTTCCAGTCAAATTTGAATCAATAGCTGTTCACTCACACTTCAATGAATGTTAACAGTGGTAATTTTATTGTATAAAATCCTAAGTTTTCAAGGGGAAATCTGCCTTGACTACATCAACAGCCAAAAGCATGCCATAGCTAACCTTCTAGCATACTTGAGCTTTACCTCTGCAGCTTTACTTTGATTGATAATTTGTCAGTAACTATTTTCTTCACCAAAGAAGACACATAGCAGTTTGAATTTGAAAAGTTAGGTATACTTAATAGGAAGGAACTATTTTTACATAGAATCAGACCTAGAGGAATGATCCTTTGACTGGTGATTGTGAGTCTGTGTCTGCGTACACACTCAGAGTTTTAATTGCTTGTATTATAATTGCACAAATATCTGTCAGTAGGATGTCCTTGAAGACAGGCTGTGGTACTAATCAGATTTGTCGACATGAGACAGTACATTTCTATTCTCTTTTACACATCATAAACTCTGACTGATATTCCCAAGGGGAAAAAATGCATAATGTGTCATTTATGACCTGTTGCTTGCACAAATTGCCTGCATTTTGTATGCAGTTGGATAACAAAATGCTATCGATTTTGAATTTGACTTAGGAAGCTGATCTTTATTGCTAGTTGTCACTTGGCAGATTTTTCTTCCCACTGTGAAATGTTTGATCTAAAATTAATGTTTTGGAGAAATGGAAGCAGTGATGGTTTTACAATATTTAAAAAAATTGCATACATTCTATCCCAGGAGATAGACGTTATTTATAAACAGAATACACATTCTATAAATAAGACTAAATTTCAAATAAGTTACAAAAAGCATGTAATATGCCAATCTTGTTCTGCTTACACAACACTGCTGTTTAGCAGAGCAGTTTTTTGGGGCTTAAAGCAAGGCATGGATCAGTACCAGCATGCTCGTGCAGAGGCAAGCTTAAAAGGTAGAGCTAGGGGAAATACACACTAACACAATGCACTACATAATAATAATAAAAAGAAAAGAAATCTAGACTACATTGGGGTATGAATTTGAAAACTCTACAAATATGACAGATTAAGAGTTAGGAAACTTCTGACACCAAAATTTTCCTTCCCAGTTCTATAGTTTTATGTGAGACACATAGAGGTCATTTCAATATCGCCCTGGAATATTGTTTTCACTTTCTACAGAAAAAGGAACAAAACCAGTATTCATTAGCACAAGGATTGGAAGACTTTTTTGGTTTTTTTAGGGAAAAGTGTATGTACCTACAGGTAATATTAAACATCTTAACCTTTCTTCATGTATTTCTTTAAGAATATCAGTGTTGTAATTCTCAGAGACAGCTACACACGTGTTGTGATGGTGAATGTCTGAAAGTCTTCAATAACCCGTACCTTAGCTCCAGAAATAGTTTCTAAATGCATATTTGCCATTTTCTATGTCAAAAGTGAAATTTTAGGTGTCTGTGTGAGCAAAGGTCCCTGAAATAATTGAAATTAATTTATGAAAGTTGGTTTCATCAACCAGACCAAGAATATATGTAACATGTAATTGAATATTTTAAAAGTAGATGTTGTAAACTAAACTTAGTGGAGATACTGTGGTCTTCTACTAGTTTTGACTGTAGTGTTATGACTATTTTTACTATTGTTATTGCATATAATGAAAAACAAATGCCAACCAAGACTGTTTAGTTTATCACTATCCTATAGGAGGAAGATTAATTTGAGAACTTTCAAATGTGCTCAGACTTCAGTTACCATAATTTTTGTTTGTGTCCAGAATTAACATTTTTAATACCCTGGGAAGAAGTAGATTAATTCACTTTTGGTGATGTCCATTAAACAGTTAATGTGTGTCAACTGCTCACTTAGCTAAGTAGTACTCACCTTCATACCAGTTTTCTAGCACCAAACCTATACTTTCTGGAATTTAGTCCGCTTTGGCACTGTAATGCTTGTTTCTTAGGAGATTATTTCATTTAGTGAAAAATTCCACAAACAAAGATATTAAAAAATCAGCTACAAGCTTCTTCACAACTTGTAAGGATACTGCACATGTAAATAATTTGTGTTTCTATGAGATTAAATGGATTAGATATATTTCTACTACCAGTGATACGTGTCCTTGACAGCAGAATTCCAGCCAATCCTCAAGTGGTAGACACATTAGCTCCATCACAGTCAATGGAAGTACACTTAATCACATCACCTGAGAATCTGACCTGCAGTCCCTAACAAGATTGTCCTTTATAGGGTAATGTTATTTTATGCTTTCATCAATCACTCTTCTAGGTCTGTACCTGTTTGTGGCAGATTAAAAAATGTCATATTAAAATCCAAAAGGCTGTTTCATCATGTTGTTCCCAAATTACCTTTACTAAAAGCAGGCCCAGTTGAGGAAAACCTTCTTCCAGAAAGAGCAAAACCTTTTTTTAATAATGCAATATTTATATTTATTTTAAACATTCTTATTATAAAGCAATTTCAAAACAATATTCATATTCTTGATTTTTAGGCTCCAAGTTGTCTTGACTTTTCTCTGCTTTGACTGTTTGCATAGGACATATGTCTACAACTACAACAATAATAGATGGTAAGAATGGATCCGTTCCTTCATCATCCATGAAAGTCAGCAAGAAATCAGTTACAGAAGACCTCGTGACAACATTCAGCTCACCAGCAGCATGGCTTCTCGTTGTTGCTCTGATTATTACCTGGTCAGCAGTAGCTATTGTAATGTTTGACTTGGTGGATTACAAAGACTTGGCAGGTAAAACTCAACATATTCTGTTTGACACCTTGTATATTAAAATTTTAAAATTTATTAAGGAATGTATATTACATAGTTATGCATGTGTCTCACTTTGGGGACAGCATAGTGTCTCTGCTGAGTTTACCAAGAGAGAAGATATAAGAAATGTCAAAATGTATTATTACAATTTAAGTCTTTCCATTTTGCAGCCCATCTTCATCCTCAAAACTATGCATATTGACAGTAATGTAATATGTATATGAGCATGTATAGTCAGATTTCCATTTTTCAATTTCTACATAAATTTTTTCAAGAAAAATAAAGTTAATTAATTCATATTTTCTGAAATATAAAGCCTTTAATAGTTGCCTTAAGTATTCTGACATCTGCTTACACTAGTTCAATGACTAGAAAAATGCAGATAATTTCTAAACATGCTAACCCTAAAAATGATCTTCAAAAACCATAAGCATAGAGGACCAGATTCCTAATATTAGCTAGGTCACATCCTTGTCTTCAATAAGACAATAACTCTAGCCTAGTTTAAGACTTGGCAAGCTGACTGAACAAGATCGAGTTTAAAGGTACAAATAGATTAATGAGGGCAAAGATGAAAATAAAGCGGGTGGTACAAGGACTGTGATTCTAATTGAGGAACTGGAAAAAGCAACAGGGAATAGAATTTTTATGCCTTTTGTCTGACAATTATATATAATGAAAAATAAATTAACTACCTATGTTTGCAAAGGGTGTATAATGATCAGCAAGACATTAAGGCAGTAAAACTTACATGAAACAAACAGCCTGTAACAACTGGGAAACATGTGTGTGATGCAGAAAACAAATGATTACAGTCCTTTTCTTTCTTAAAGTAGAGCTCCAGCTCTAAAGTTATCACATCTGTCACAATAATTAACTAGGAATTGAAATTCAGACTTCAACCTTTTAATTCAAAACAAATTGAGTTGATGTTTTGGACTAAATTTCCTGGACTTTATTAGTTTACTGATAAATTCATAGATTTTTTTTTTTTTGTCCTGCTATATATCAATATTAACTTCAAGATTTACTTAAAAAGCTTTTGAGACAAAGATAGATCTTGAAAGAAACCAACCAATCCTGGATCAATGGATGTCACAGAGTTTGAAATGTGGAGAAAATGTACCACAAAACTTTCTTAATTTTTTTTCTCCTCTGTCTTTGTTTTCAGAAGGACATCACTTGAGTTCCAGCAAAACATAAAGTTATTTTTTAGAGATCTTTCCAATATAGACATCAGATTTTAATTTGGACACCACACACTGGATACTACAACATATATAGAAACCAAGAAAGAGAAACTATCATATTCTGCTTCAGTTTTCCATATTAACCATTAATCAATCAATCAATCAATTAGTCAAGTTCTTAATATATTTTATATGAACAATCAAGAAGGAGAACATAACTGAGACTACACTCTTATACTAAGCAATTCCTGAACTGGCTGTCAAGTCACACACGTTCGATATATAAGTCAGGGTAATGCAAGTCAGGGTAATGCTAAGTAATAAGAATTTGTACTGGAGACTGAAGGAAGCATCTAAGATGTAATTCTGCTCATATTATATTGACTAAATGAGTTTAAATGTCACCAATGTTGATGGAAACTGACATTTTCAGACCAGGATGTAGAAAAAAAATAATATTTAATCTGAAGGATGAGTTTGGATTTTGTGGAGGTCTCTGAGAGATGATACTTTAGTTTTTTGAGTTTACGAGTTCATTTCTTTTCTTTTCCAATGATAGTAATTAAGTGATTATTAAGCCAACACTTAAATCAGGTCTCAATGGTCAAGAGTTAAGAGAAGAAACTGCTGTACTTCTTTAGACCAGGATGTATTACACTGTTTTCTGTATTTACATAAATTTAACAATAGCTACGTAGCTCTGACCATAACCCTTGGGTTTCACTTCTGGAGTTCCTACTTCAAGTTGAATCCACTGATTTATAAAAAATCCATTAAAATAGCTGAAGATTTCACATAGAATCACCTGGCTGTCATTATTAATACTAGAATGATTTTCACTTTTGGACAGCCTGGCCCTTTGCCTCCACAGGAGGCCCTTTGCCTTCTTTTCACATAGAAAGTAGAATTTGGAGCATATTTGGAGCATATATAAGTGACTCCTTAAATCTAAAACCCAGTGATATTTTCTCTTGAGTTTGACACTGTTCTTTGAAGAATCAGACCTGGATAAAAAGCATGAATAGTTATTTTCAGGACTGTAAATATAGTTTTGCAAGCATGATTAAAATTAATTTCCTAGTTTTCAAATGCAAATGAAAGATGCCAAAGAAAATATATTCAACTGTATACTTTTTTAATCCATAAAACACGGAAAATTCCATGTGTTTTTCCTCAAAGAACACTTGCCTTTCATAAGTCAGTGCATTCAATTTCTTTCCCATTTCTCTACCTGAAGTTCCATGAAGTTCAAGTTTAGAAAGTATGCATAGCATATGAATGAGGCAAGCTGAGAGAGTTAAACTCAGTCTAGAGAAGAGGAGAGGGAGGGATGGCCTAGGAGCAGTCTGCAGATTTTTGAAGGAGAGCTACAATAACAGAAGACTCTCATCCATGGGTTCCCACCAGGGACTTCCACTATGTTTCTGTGCCAGAAATGACTGTTTCCATAGCAGAGCTGTTAGCAGTAATTCCACTGCATAGGACTGACTGCAGCAGAAAACAAGAGTAGGTTGACACAGTAAACCTGCCTGGGAACTGTGTGGCTGAGGAATATACATGGATTTGGTCCCCCTGACTACACTACAGAGCTGCTAGCCTCTGGGCAATAAAGGAAGTGCAATGCCCTAAATTATGAGTTACCTAGATAACACACAGAGTCATGGAGGTCAGTAGAAGCACAACACATCAGCAGAGTAGAAAGTACTTTAAACTGGAGCATTGTTTTCCTTCAATAATTAACAATTTTTATCTCATTATCTCATTATCTGAAAGACAAATGGTTCCAACAAGACATATAGTATTAGTCTATTTATCTCTTAATGTATTTTTTTAATTTATCAGTATGAACTTCACACTGCCTTCTGTGATTAGAGTGTCAACCCATAGATTTTGCTTTTGATTACTACGGTTTCACGTTCTTTTAGAAGTAAACTATCAAGTTTGGGAAATTTGACAATTTATATAGGATGAAATTTGTCCCGCAAATAACTATATGAAAAAACGGTGCTTAGTTTCATCCTAAAGTAGATGTGGTAAATTACTTTTGTGGGATGCCTTTTTACTCAGTATTTGAAAAGTAGCTTTTAGAACTGAGGGAGGCCAAGCGGGAAAAAAATTGAAGGTTCAGGTAACTGAAGTCAGATTACATGAGTTCAAGCTTCACTCATAAAAAGATTTACAATATATTTTTGTGTAATTTTACATGTCCAGAACATGATTGACTGTAAATACTATAGTACTCTGTATTATTCAGGAGGTGCTGGTTATGATATAAAATATATCATAAGAGGAGAACACTGGTGTTACAGGTTGCATGTGTAAAGCTATGCCTCCTTGGTGGTTATGTATCAGTTTGTTCAGAGGTTAGAACAGAGATCGAACCTGCAAGTCAGCTTTGGCTTTGGATTTTGAGGAAAGCATGAGACAAAAATTAGATCAGTGTTGAAAGTTTCACCCCAGTTCTATCTACCCAGAAGAAGGAAATTCAATTTTTGCAGTGTTGTGCTTTAGTGTATTATGCTCATTCCTTTGAGGAAAGAAATGAAAACTTGCATTCCTATCATGCTGTATTGTACAACTATAAACATGACTGAAATATTTGTAATGTGGTATGAAGGTGACATGCAATACAAAAGTCTGAGATAAGAAACCAAAAATCTTATGCAGTACATAGTGCGCATGAATATGCAATAAGTATCATACTACATTGAATTGTCTCATATATTTTGAATATCTTCAGATATGCAGAAAAAAAATTGTTTTGGTGTGTGCATTGCAACAGTTTATTACTACCATCCTTTGTGTTAGAAAATACACCTTGTTAATTGGCTTCATAATTCAAGAATATATTTCATACATTTCTTGTATGTATAACTGGATTATATATTTTAATTGGTAAATGTAACTAAATATTTTAAGATTATTTTGGTCTTAAAGATTAATTACCCAGGAATTCATATTTGGTAATGGGCTAATAGAGTGTTCAAAATTCCCTGCCATCTCTGTGACCAATTACAACCAATTAACACCATCCTAATTTCAGATTCAGAGTGTTCAATATTCAGAGAAAATTGATAGTGATTTAGCCAGTCACCTAAAGGCCAGACTAAACCAAACCTAATGAAACCTCAACAAATCTGTGAAACCCAAAATTACCCACAAAACAATCTAAGTGAAAATATAGAAAACAAACTCCTAGCAGGATGAGCTTAGCATTTTATCACGACTGCTTTCATAAATGAAAAAAAGAATAGGCTCTTTGTTGTGGATAATTTGTTTTGCTCAGCCATCAAGAGGCTTTTTAGACACCTGAAGCAAAGCAGATCTCTGTGGAGGTAATACCTGCCAATGATAGAAATGGGGAGCTAACAGGAGATGGAGGCATGAAGCTCCTATCCACTTAGATACTGTCTTTAATTTTTTTCTTTAATTATTTTTTTTTCTTTCTAAGATAATGGCAGAACATCTGGCCAAATTGTTGTGGGTTCTCCCATACTGGCTTCTGAAAAACACAGCCTGAAGGCACCATTTCTCTGCCTGAACTCATGGTCATTTCTATTACTGCCTTGTAATCACAGAAAGTTTTGGCTGGCCCTGGATAGTATGCATAGAATATACCTATTATTATTCTCCAGCAGAGGAAAACAAATGAAAATTAAGAACCATTTGTCACATGAAAATCTGTATTTTGGAGCAAAAAGATGCACAAAAGTAAAGAACATGACTCTAAACCACTTGTATTTTATCACCAACATGGACATTATTTTCCCTAGCCTCCTTCACAGTAAAACTGTAAGGTGCAAAACCTGCTAGTTCCAGAGCATTGTCATTAGGAGACATGGAATTCAGCAAAATATGGCTATTCTACTGGGTTTCTTTTCTTTTCTTCTTTTTTTTTTTGTCTATTTTTTTGTGAGATAATCATTATTAGGAATATATACACACATTTTTCTCCTACAATATTATCTCACTGTAGTCATCCTGTTGGGCTCATGTTCACTGGAAATTTTAAGATATGCAAAAAAAAGTGTGCTTATATATATTCTTATATTTACAACATATTCACCAACGTTAAAACTGATAATACCTCTGCACTTATTTAGGAAAAAAATGAACTTCTGTCTTAGCTTAAAGCACCAGAAAATTTAGTGGAACAAATAATTTTGTCTCTTTTTCAAACATACAAAACCCTAGGCAAATCATAGAATCACGGAGTAGGGTGGTTTGGAAGGGATCCACAAGGATCATCAAGTCCAACTCTTAGCCTGGAATTTATCGAAACAGTGCTATAGTCTTCTGAAATACAATTTTTACTGTATTTACAATTGTCAATCCAAAGCATGATTAAAGAGCTTATCTATTTCAAAGTTCTTAATGAAATTCTTAATTGAATTATACGAGACTTCAACTAATGTACCCAAAACCTAAAAAATATTTTTTTCTCTTTCATAATGATAAAAACAACTAAAGAGATTTAAGCCAAATTCCAGTTTAAAGAAGGGCTGGCCAGATGACATCTGGTTTGTCATGTTTCACTCTGCAGATCTCATAGCTGAGTTATAAATCCCTAGAAAATGAGTTTACACTGGAAAGAATGACAGCCTATGAAGTATTGTAGTGCTGCAAGTGCTGCATTCATCCCAAAAGGTCTAGCATATAAAGGTGATAAATTGTGATAGATCAAACTTCATGAGGTCATGAAGTTGAAAATATGAAATTTTAGAAACTGTCTCCATGAATAGGGAAGGATTTAAGAGGAGAATTCATGCTTAAATATGCTAAATGGGAAAAAAACACAACCCAAATTTCAGGTGCATAATGGTATCTGTGAAATTTTTAATTTTAAACAAGCAAACCAAAACGGTAATTCACTTCAGCAACAATTGCAGTGATGCAACTCTTTGCTTATTTGCTGTTGAAGAAATTGAAGTAACTCAACTAGAATCAACTGTATGTGATTTATTCTTTTCAGTAATAGAACTTGTTTGTAAATTGTGAAAATACCTGTATCTTATTCAATCATATTTTCACATTGCTCTGATTCATACTGTATTATCTTACACCTAGATCATATTGGGTTTTTTTGAATGACCTCCAATTTCTGCTTCATAACAGCAGCCCCACAGAGATTAAAAAAACTCCTCACTTCACTCCTTAAGTGCTTCCTTTAACCAAGAGACAGCTGACAATGTTCATTATTGCTAATGGTGTTTCTTCCTTTTTTTTTATTGGCCTTTCTGGGGTTCATCCTGTTGCCATCAGCTATAGACACCTATTCACAACATTGCGATGATCCCTGTTTACCACCTGGTAAAGACCTTCTGCCTGCAGTGTTCTGAATACGTGTGTGCGATGATAACAAAGCATGGGCAGAAGCAGAGTGTCAGGATGTGGCAGCCTTGCTTCTCAGCTAACCCCAACTCTGGATGGCTGGGGCTGCAAAGTTCATTGCAACAGCCTATTCCTGATTTTCACATTGTGCTTGAAGTAGACCTGACTGCTAAGAGTTGACTCCAGTCAGGAGATTCCCAGAAAATTGTGTCAAGCTGAGGTACTAATTTTACACTTTAAATGTCCTTTAAAAATGCCATTGTACAATTACTTAACAGCTTTTTAACCTGAAGCTAAGATCTGTGTTCTTAGTCAGAGAACTGAACCCATAGAATGAGGAAAAAATAAAGTTTCAAATTATTTTAGATAAAATGTCTGTCTGTTTCAGAAAAAGCCACTTGATGAGGGTCTTACCCACCAAATCAAAACCTTCCAGCTGAGACCAAATCAAGCCATATCCTAAACATACACTCCTGTCCACGTGTACAGTTATATCAAAAGTACCTGAAATTATCTGATAGTTTATGACAGTTTGTGAATTTTTTTCTAAATTTTGGTGAGTAGGTTCTAGTTATGCCTACTTCTTTGTCCACTTTCAGGTGAGGTTTTCTCTATGGACTTGACCTCAATACAATTATCTAAGGCGGATATTAGAAAGAGACAGAGAAGATTTAGACTACAGGCTGTAGTCTTCATATTTACAATATCAGTACTTATAAAATGGAAATTACTGGGAAGTGCTTAGTCTGCATTTTTTGGTATTGTTTTTATATGCAATAATTCAATATACTTATAAGTATAAAAATTAAATAATTATTTTTATATTTATATTTCAATGACACCTGTCCAAGTTTTTTTCTGGTGCTTAAGTTAGTGCTAAAAAAATGCTAGTCTCTGAAACAGAAAGATAAGACCTAAGGACAGCTATGTTGATAAACTGGAATTTTAATAATGGAAGATTTTAAGTTTGTATTGAGTTTAGTATCTTAATTCACGGTGTAGAAATAAAGTAATATTAATACTAAACTTAAGAGATATAAACTTTTGAATTAAAATCTAGATCTCTATATTTAACTATTTTATTTTTTACTAAAAATAAGATATGTTTTATCACAAACTAGTGTTAGGCTTTTGTATTTTATCAAACATGACACAAATTCTGTCTTCATCAGCTGTACCTTGTCAGTATCAATGAAGTAGTTTATATCTCATAGATCAATCTTTACACCAGATAATTACCATCATTTGTAATTTAACTGCATTCAATTCACTGAAGTCAAAATATGTAATTGATGAAAATCTAACAATTATTAACTAATTTGCTGTAGTTGATTAAAAAAAGCGCCACTTTAGCATAGATTGAACTCTGAATTTGTATTTAACAATTTGACAAACAAAAAAGATTTATAGGGGACTATATTTGTGGTAAAGTTATTAAGACTGGAATAATTACTGAAGTAATTTGCACAGATAAATCAAGTAGTCACTTATTTGTAGTGCACTTCATAGGAATAGATGACACAGACCATAAAACATAACCAAATTTGCTTGAGGCACTACAGTAAATCATACCATGTGATTACTCAACTCTTGTTTCCAAAAGTCACTGTTAAAGGACCCATTATTAGTTCTGATGAAACAAAACATTCTTCTGTTCAAACATACCACAATTTTACTGAAGTTACTTTGTCACTTTATCAAAATTATCTTCTATCCCATGAACACACTTAAGACCAATTGCAGGACTTGAGAAATCTGTCATTGGTTAGTTTCAAGGAGCTGTGTTAAGTGTGAGATATTAATTATCATTAAAGTTATGAATTCAATTTTCAAATCAATTGGAGTTAAAATTGTGAGCCAAGGAGATTTCAAAAATGAAGAAAGTAATTGTTCAGAATTCTTATTTTCACATTTTTAATCAAATTACTGTTTCTGTACCAATAATGCTAGAGAGCTACAAAGAATTTGATATGCCAGCTTCAACTTATATAGGGAGTTTTTAGAAGTATTAAATACCTACAGCACGTCCGAAATTATTTCTTAGAAAATTATTTCTTAGAAAATTATTTTAAAGAAATTTGCATATTTTTAGTAAAGAAAATCCAAACAAGCTTCTAAATTGTTATGTAGATATCTATAGTGGATAAAAAGCTTTCTCCAACTTTCTACAACTGAGCTTTCCTACAATAAGGTTTTGTTGAAAAGTAACATACAATATCCTTCAATTTGATTGGGATTCTTTCTCAGTCAGCTTTAACTCTTACAAGTTTCAGCATTTTCCAGAAGATTATGGACTTAGAGTTTTGACTTCCCACTGAAAACGAAAAGGCAAAACAATTATTCTCATATCAGTGATCATGCTAGCAGAAGTACAGATAAACTTTAACTGATCCACAAAACATCTCTTATGTTGTACCAAGTAATAAAAAATCGTGACAAAATAAAATGTTCTAGCCAAGCTTTTTTGTTGGCACCAGTGTTGCAGAATGTAAATAATTTATCAATGTGAATAGTTATACTGACCTGGCATTAATTATGAATGTAAAGTTACAGATCTAAGTGCTTAACCTAAGTGTAAAATGACAAATAAGATTTAAGTATGAAATAACATCACTAAGAGGATCCATGACACATACCTCAGTCATATGAAAATAAGATGTCATGTCCGTGTTTATTTTTCAGGCTTCCTTTCCTTTCTAGTCAATGGAAAGAAATTGACATCTTTGGAAATGAATTCATATAATGCTAAAAAAGATTTCAGAGGAAAGCAAGAGAGTTGCCTTCAGAAGTTCACAATATGTTTATCCGCATTAGCTTTTGAGGGAGTCTAGAAACCACCAGGGATTCAATAACAGTTCAGGTACATTTGCCTAGGTAGGATAATCTAAACTTAAAGCCACGATGAAAGGAAATTACATACTGTCAACAAAATTCTTCAATATTAATTGTATGTTTCATGCCCAAGCTTAACCTCATGAGTATCCATTTACTTCCTTTCCCCTCCTTGCTCCTTCAACAGGCATTTAGTAATTTTTTTATTACGTTATCTAAGAGACACAATTGGCTCAGTCGCTACTTAAAAGTTCAGTGAAAGGTAGAACGTCACAGCCTGTATCTGTCTGAGAAATACTCTATATTCATAAAAGCTCTTTACAGTTTAAATTCAAGATCCTGCCCCTTCTACTCCCAGCACAGTAGTTTATAGATGATATGTCATCTATTAATTATAGTTTATAGCTATAGATTAGTTACAAATTATATATTACACACTATATAACATATGCTAGCAAAAAAAAAAAGAAAATTGTGACCTTAATTTTAAAATAATTAGTGTTCTAAGGTTTACTAAGAAATGAAAAGTTGGACAGAAGACAGCTGATCCAGTCTGAATATATTGAATGCAAAACTATCTTAAAAAATCTCATCATACTATTCCATTGTTGGACATTTGTAAATAAAAAAAAAAAAAGAAATTAAATTACATGAAAATATCAAACTCAAACTTTGTTGCATTCTTTCATCTTCACTCCTGAAGCAAGAATATGCAAATCTCCTGGGAATGGTTGACTTTCTTTGCATGTGTTTGAGATAAATGGAATCTTTCTCTGCACTTGTTACCACTAGAACTGTTTAATTTCTTTTTTTTCTAGTGTGTTTTGTTCTACGAGGGACCTAGTAGAACCTGTTGTCCAAGTTGTGGGTAGAGCTAAAAGCATGGATTTAATCAGTTGCAATTTTCACTTTAGCATTAGCTGCTGTCATGTTCTTCAGAATTTTAGGACACATCATTACTGTTAGCATTACAATTAAAAAATGTTGGAAATACAACAAGTTAAACAGAAGATCTGTGCAGGAGATAATTTTCCAGGCCTGTTCCACTTGCATCAGACCTCAAGTGAGATCACAGTGTCTGTTTGAATACAAAATTTCATTTTGCAAAGACCAATAAAGTGTCATCTATACAACTCCAAACCAATTTTTCTAAACTTCATGTGCTAAACAGGATTTGCAACTTGGGCCTGTTAGTGTGGGTATGACCGGAAAATTTTGCCTCCAGAGACTTACAATTTCTAATACCTTTTCTTAGTGGGGTATGAAGATGTCATGAATTAAAGACCAGGATATGATGTTGAAGACTGATTCATGAGCAAAGATGGCTTGCCTTGGGGTGGTTGGAATAATTTCCTCTGCTCTTGATCTTGCTCTTCTCTGAGCATCTCCCTTGCCTGCCCAGGGGGGACAGCTCTGCTACCTGTGAAGCAGTTCTTGCACTGCTACTTGATAGATGAGTATATTCAAATAAATTGATACCAGTTCTTGTTTAGTTTTCAGCTGTATTCCCTGCGGCTGTAAAAGCCTGTGGCTGTAAAAACAACTGAGCCCTCTGTAAGCAACTAGTAGATAAAAGGAGGGTGGGTATCCACAGTGGAAATCAATGCAGTTGTCCAAATTCAACCATCCCTGCTTGTGAATCAAAACCTCTGTTATGCTAAGACACTTCTGGTCATGTCCGTTCTATTAGTTGACTTCTACTCCTCAGCATCTCTAGATTAGAATGAAGTGAGTTTTGGGTCATAGATTTACTTTTTAATAGACTAAATTAGTTATTCATTCTCCTGGTTAATGCTTTAGAAGAGTATCTGTGGCAAATCAGTTGAAAAAATTAAATCTCTACATCTCAATTCATGAAGACAATGAAAATAAACAAAGTAAATAAATCAGCACTCAGCAATTTCCTTAGTCAGAACTTGTGTAAGGGAACAGGTTCAGGGGGACGTGATATGAAGAGCAGGAAATTGATGGCACTGAATCCTAAACAGGCATCAAGACGTATAGGACCTGACTCAAAGAAAAAAAAAAGCAGCTGAAAGGAAGAGCTTATCTAAAACAATGAATGTTAGCTAGAAGCAAATCTACTTTTATACTTTGTCCAACCAAGCCTCAGAAGGAGAGCCAGAGCCTGGAGCACAGCATCAGACCAAATTGTACACTGAGTCCCTAATCACTCTGCAAATAGCAAGTGCAATAGGATACAGCTTATACCAGTCTTGCACAGGAAGGAGAGCTGTCCTCAAATCCTCTAATAATAAAAATTAACATTCACAATCCTTATTTCTGTTAAAAGAGGTGGTCTAATTAGTCCTGTATAAAATGAAGATTAACTTTTATCATTGAAGGAGTTATTCGTTGGGTTTTTTGAAACCGCTTTTGTTTTATACTTTGCACTCAGGAAGATCTGTTAACAAGCTCAGCACAGAACCACTGAGAATCATTCATGAGACACTGGAAGAATCCGCTGATTGGATTTATGGCTTTTTTTCTTTACTGTCTGACATCGTATGGAGTGATGATGATGACGACAGTGATGAAGGTATTTGTAACGTAAAGACTTCTGTAACTGCTCTAACTGCTGTTTTACACGTGTTATGCTGGCCTACTCAGCTTTTAACCTCACAGACAAGGTCAAACAAAATGAAAAGTAACATTGTTGCTCATAAAGCATCTACTGGCTATTCCAATCAGTAAGCTGATCTCTTTGTTAGCTTTCATCTCATGTTTAATGTACCATTACAGAAAAGCTGTCAGAATTAAATATTACCATTAGTACATCTTAAAGTAAAGAGCATTAATTTGGCTATACCAGAATATAATTAAAAAGCAACATGTACTGAAATTGAATTCTATCTGCTTGTTCATAAACTTTACATGTCATCAAATTTCTACCTTTTAAATATGTTCATGAGCTTTTTACATTAGCATCATATATGAACACTAATAGGCTGCTGCATGTGAGTCTGTGAACTGGGTATCCTATTCTGAAATAAGATTTATGACTAGTAGAAAGCCAGTCTCTCATATGGTTGAGAAACAGAAAAGATGAAATATGGAGAGCTTGGTAAAATTTGATCAGAGTTCATTCTTATAGTTTAATAACTCCCAAAGAAGCCACAAGCTTTCAAATACTTGAGTGTGTAAGTGTTAATGGCAGTACAAAAGGTCATAAAATACCTGACATAGAAAAATGCAAGATCTGAATGTTCACTAGGTGTTTGGAGACCTTAGTCCTAGCAGCTTTTAGCCCAGGTGGAATTTCATCAATATCAACCAGCAGTATGAAAAGGCAGTAAGGCATCTTATATAATAAATATATTAGCACTGTATATAAAAACTAAGCGCATGTGAGCTCTGTGCTGCAGTCAGTGCAGCTGAGGCTGCACGCTAGCCAATCATTCAGGCTCAGGCCTTTAAATTGTCATGTCCTGCATGGAAGTGGAATAACATACTGCAGCAATCAAGTGTTCGTAGTTCCACTGAAATAGTTTATATTTTTACCTTGGATTTCACTGGAAGCATCGCTAGATTTACAATCTTCCGAAACTGCATATACACTGTGTCATTTGGAACTAAACCCAAACTACTGGGCCTTTCCTTAAAACATGGAAACGTGCATAAAACAAAGCAAATTGTAAATCGTAGTTACAAATTAGTATTCAGAAGCACAAACGCAGATTTGGATCTTTCCTTAGTTACTAGTGCACCTTGAATTTATCCACCCAAAACTCTGTGGTAAGAGAATCTTTATGAAAAATTCAAAATCTCAGAATAGACGCTTACCATTTAGCATATAAAGAAGAGAAATTATTTTTTGAAATTAAAACGAGAAAACATGAGAAAAAATGTGGGGGTTTTTTTAATATCTTTTCTCTGACATTTGTTTTCTTCTCTTGGTTTAGGTGAAGTGGAACCTTCCATGAAAAAAGGTTGGTCAGTTGCTTTACTATAGAGGGAAAATACTTTGCAACTATTTTAAGAATTAACTGGTATATCTGTGATATAAAAGAAACTCAAGTAATAATACTTGCTGTGCTGTTTGCTGCTCTGTGAGACTTCTTGAGTATTACATTATTACCCAGAAATTTTTAAAAATTATCATAAAAAATAGAATTATAGAAATATTATCTGTATCTTTGCCCTTCATGTGGGACTCTTGTTAATATCAATGAGTTACATATATGTCTGGATAGAAATAAAAATCACAAATAATAATATGGAATACCATGGAAAGAATATATAGTTAGAAATAATGAGGCACCGTAAAAGCATTTTATCTTGTGTCAACACAGGACTGTAAAATAAGGCCTGATTCTGAATCTCCAGAAAAAGTACTTAGTTGTCATTGAATTCTTAAAGCAGACAAGTGAAGTAAATAGGATTTATAATATAAATCTTTATAGATATTTAAATTGTTATGATTAAACATAAAACTTAAGTTCAACTTCTATTAAATCAAAATGAAAATGTATTAGAAGGCTTGAGTTATTGATGACACAATGTAAATCTTTTCAAAACTAGGGTGTGTTTTTTCTCCATATGGAGTAAAGCCTGATAATAGTAGGATATGGAACCAGCCCCATGTGATCTGAATTTGATATTCATCAATTTCTCAAGAGGTAAATGCCTGTGTTGAAGAATCTATCACCCCAGTTGCTGCTGAGATCACAATCCAGTTTTCTCTGAAGTTAATTGGAACTGGATCAAGCTTCTATTTAGTGACATATTTTGTCATTCTCAATAGAGCATCCAAGGAATTAATAGGCTTGAAGACCAGGATGAATCATCTTTCTATGGATGATCCTTCATTTTTAGGAAAACTTATAGACAGTGCAGGAAAACATTCCATCTGTTTACTCCATCAGTAAGAATTGTAAAATGTTCAGCACCACTCTGTCTTTTCTCCCGGAGAGAGAAATGCATTGTTAATTTTAAAAAGGGGTGCACAGAGTTTGAAACTGTGGACTGTTGTTTGCAGGGATGCTAGGTACACCATGTTTTTTCACCATGGGCCAGTGTAGCTGGCCAGGCTGGAAGTACTGTGAAGATTCTTCATGTCTGGGAAGGTATTGCCTATAAAAACATTACAGAAAACACCATGTTCAGCACTGCAATCCCTTCTTCTCTGGAAATCAGTGACACACTCAGGCCTAACCCTTTACATTGGGACACAAGTCTGTAGAAACACAATTCAGAGAAACCATCCAAATAAGGTGGAAGCTGCTTAGTTGGAAGTGATGAAATGAGACAATTGTTTGGACCTAAAAGTCTTCCATCCAAGGAGCTAAGTATTTAACTGCCGGTTTGGAACGTTTTCCTTACTATTCAAAGCTCATAACCTGGCTCTGGAGATAAATCCTGAGAGGGGCTTATCTTTGGTGTGAAGGAAATGGGCAAGGAGCTGGTGATTCCTAAGGGTCCGGTGTCTTACAGGTTGACTCAGCCACACAGATGTGAAAAGACCCAAATTCAAACATGCTTCATCTGCCCGAGAAGTAAAAAAATTCTGAGTGGGCTTTTCCATTTCCTGGATGTGTCCTCAAGATCATTCCTTTGTCTTTTAGAGGAAAAGGCTTCCCATCTTTGTCTCCCTGCTAAAAGCTGTTCCTTGACTGGGACTGCTGAAGATAGTACTCCTTTCTGAGTATAGCCATAAGATTTCACATAGCGACATCCTCAAATAACTTACCATCTCCAGGTAACTAGAGGTCTCCATTTCATTCTGGCAGCTGGGACCTGGCCTTGTTTATACTTGGTTTTGTCACCTCTTTTACTGGGCTACAGAAATACAATATATGTGGCCTGCAGCCACCAATCCCTTGGAAACGCCAGCGCAGAGTACTGCATGGTTGTTCAGTGACAGGCAGCTCTGAGCCCCTCAGAGCTGTTCCTGCCTCTCTGCAGACTTCTCTTAAAATTGTATAAACATCAATAGCTGAATTACCAGCACTTTAGCCTAAACAAAAGTTTTCTGAGAGCTCTGTGATACAGTCTAGTCAACAGCTTTTCTGCTTAGGCAGTGAAATTTATTCCCAGAGCTAAAGCTCATGAGCGCAGAAGGCAAAGCCCTGGGAGGTGAGCCGAGGGCTCAGGTGAGCTCCTGCAGGTAGCACTCTCACAAGCATCTGTTCTCCCAGCACAGGGTGCAGATCTCTTTGAGTAGTTTTTCTTAACAAATGTGTGCTGTTGTCTGTATGGTCCAGAAATAAGACTTCCAGAAAAAAAGCTTTCTAAAACAGAACGTTGCATCGGTCATTTTTCCAACAAGGCTGCTGTTAGGACTGGACCCAAAGGAGGACCACTACACAAATAAACCAGGAAACTTCTTGGGTATCAAAATGTTAGCTAGATCCATGAAATCGGAAACAAATATTTTAGTTATGGTGTGTTCTCTGGTGTACGTAAAGGACCATTTCTGCATCAAAGTCCCTTCCCTTCTGAGCAGGAATTTTATCCATAGGTTTGTGAATGGTCTTTAGGTGATTCTTATGCTTATGGCTTTTGAACATCCTAAAAAAGAAAAAAAAGACACAGTGAGATTGTGCAATACACTACTGCTGTCTCTAGAAGATTAACAGATTAATATTTTTCATATTTTTATAGAAAACCACTCTCAAATTTCACTCTGGAAATGTGCATTATGGGATGCTATGCCTGCTTTTTAACTATTTGTATTGGATTTAATCCACAGTTATTGCGGTTTTCATGAACAGGATGAGAATTTGTTTAAAAATTGTCATACTTATTTTGAGTGTGTGGACAAGCCTTTACACTTTTGCTTTGTTGACTAGCAGCCTTTGTGAATACTAAAAGGTTTGCATAAAATTTACTTTATAATGGAATAGAGTAACTGGAAAAAATAAGAAGATCGCTGGTATCATGATGCAATTAAATATTGGAAAAAAACTCAAGGGGAGTGGCAAGGACATTGACTAGTCATGAAAGAAGAAAAGCCTAATGATAATTATGATCTGAAAGAAAACAAAGATCGCTTTCCTAGAGAAAGTAAAGATAATAGAAGTACGAGTAATGACAATGGGCTTCTGCAGGCAATGGGACTAATATCAGCTTCAGAATCCTTTAGAAAACATGAAAATATCTCTCAAGCACCTTTTTTATTGCAATTATTTTTACCAGTCCAAGTCTTATCACTAATGTTTATCTTTAATAATTGGAAAAGAATGAACATTTAATATTGTCTAAAAAAGTAATGTTCTTCAACAGACATAGTGAAAGATTATTCTGTAGTCTTTAACAATGCATATTTTCAATATACTAAAGCTGTAGGGTATTTTCACAAAAGACATAGAGAATGTTAATTCTTTCTTGCAGGCTTAATATGTTTTTGGTTTAATTTCTTTCTACAACAGTTATGACTGATCATGTTCTTCATTTTTTCATGTTATTCATTATCTGACAGCTGCATGTTTTGTCATATTTTGATCTATTTTACTAGAAATTATTGTTATTAAAAAAAGAGAGAAATTTTAATTTTTTTTTTGTTTTTTTGACACTGCTGGCATCAGTTGTGAGTTTCAAAAAGAGCTGAGAAATCTAGTGAAGAAAACTGGAAATAAAGATCTGTAAATAATAAGCAAGTGCAGACACTTCAGCATTGACAACCATGGCTAAAAATGTTATTATTAAACTGTAAATAATTTTCACTTCAATAAACACAAATCATTTAAAAAGCAGACTAAGAAATAAAGCACCATCATGACAGTGTTATCCATCTCTGTATTACCAAAAAGTTTTTTAATTAGCATAATATTATTCTTATTGACAATCAAAAGAAACTTGATTTCCTTGAGGTAGAGATGGATCTCTAATTTTCTGTTAGACTATATATGAGATAGAAAAATACTTTAACAGAAATTTCTGTTAAAGGTTGCAAGAAATTTTGAAAAATACAAATAATTTTTTTTAAAAGCACCTTATCCTTCTGTCTTCAGTTCAAATGAGAATATCCTTACCTGAGTAATAATCTGGTTATTAATATGCTGAAGACATACATGTCAGGCTCTTAAAATGTGGCAACTTCTAAAGGTATAGTCAGTTACTCTGAGTTACCCTCAGCAACTCTGGCCAAGGTCCAGCTCCCACAGACCTGACTCCAGACACCCACCCCTACTAATCCGTTCTGCATCCCAAGGTTAGAACAGTCAGAATTTATTCAGCACAATGTATCTGCTTGTTCAGACCTGGGTATTGATCTGCACTAACAATGACAAACAAAGTGCTCCCAAAAGGAAGGGTTCTCAGCACAGACAATTTCCTAGATTTCCTTTTAAGAATGATCAAGCAAACACCTACAACTTTGTTTGTTGTAGGGAAAGGGGAGGGGCAGGAACAACCCGCTTAGAGAAGACTGGTAGAGAATTTGCTAATTTGGATTCGAAAGCAGTTTTGATATACTAGCCTGTATAAATCTAAAAAGAACTGGTTTTGGTATCCAGGCAGGGTAGGGAAAAACATACTGACAAATACTTAAGTGTTAGTCCTGCAATTTAAAATGTGTGTTAGATTGCTTTTACCTATTTGCATACCAAAGAATGTAAGATCAGACCAAAAGTTCAGTTTACTCACCGGATAGGACAGAAATCCTTATTGCTGCCCAAGAGCAACCAGTGCAAATGCAGCAGGAAGCATATCAGAACAGTTAAAGATATAGCCCAAAAAAGTTCTCCATACTCCAAGCATTTTCCCCAGTGAGGGGACAGTTTTTACATCTCTGTAATTCACCTACCACTCCCTGTGAACCCAAGGCTACAGACAGTTTGGAAATGGACTAGAGAAAAAAAAAAATCAGAATACCATAGAAGCAACCTGAAAACTGTGTTAAGATATATGTATCTTAAAAAATAATTGTGCAGTTTCATTCATCTCTGAAGTATATACCTATTTGTACTGGTAATGCGTTCTGAATTGA